GCTGGCCTCGAACTCACAGAGATCCGCCTGCCTCTGTCTTCCCAGTCCTGGGATTAAAGGCGTGCACCGCCGCCGCCCGGCTATTTTTGATTTCTTTGTTCATTATGTTTTTTAATTTAAAATTTTATGGTTATGGGTCTTTTACCTGCATGTATGTCTGTGTACCACTTACAGGCTTAGTGTCACTGAGGCCAGAGAGGGCATCTGATCCCCAGGAACTGACGTTATAGATGATTGTGAGCTGTCCTATGGGTGCTGGGATTCAAACCCAGGTCCTCTCATCCTCAGAGCCAGCCCTCTATTCCTCATGTCTGATTTCTTGGAGGCCTCACATAGTGCTCCTCACAGCAGTACATCATTTTACACTCCCACCAGTGGTGCACGTGGGTTCCATTTTCTCCACCCCTTTGCCAACACTTGTTTTTTCTGTTTTGTTAGCAGCGGCCATCCTAATGCTAGGAGTGGTACCCCGCTGTGGTTAAAAGTCTCCTTGTGGCATTGTAATTTTCCCTGGATTAAAAAGGAACATAGGTGGTTTTCTTGAGAAACTATGGGGAATAGGAACACTAATAAAAATTGTCTTCCCAGAATTGCTTTTAAGCTGGATATAATAGTACATGCCTGTACTAGCTCAGAATTTGGAGGGTAAAGGCAAGAGGATCACCAGTTCAAGACCAGCCTCAGCCATATACCAAGTTCAAGGCCAGCCTGGGTTACTTAAAAGAGAGAACTGCCATTGACATTTGAGATGATGGAAACTCTTTTCAGTTCTTTTTTCTCTCCATCTATTGCTCCTTTTACATGGCAGAAACCAAGCCATGCGGACCGAATTTTATCTTCATTTTTTACTTAGTCTCATATCAGAGTCTGACACTTTATGACAAAATTGACACCACTCAATTGGATTGTGCACACATTTTCTCAGCAAAGCACTGAAAACTGGGCTCTCATTGGCCATATCTAAAGGCAGTCTGCTGGATCTTGCTGTAGAGGTCAGGTCCTGTTGGGAGTGGATCAGGCACATTATTCTACTTCCTGGAAACAGAGGCCCACTTCCTGCTGGGAACAGCCTACCCTTCTGGGCCAGCTGCTATTCTAAGTGCTCACATCTATGAAATCACAAAACCTTCCTCACGACTCTGCCAAGAATGCCCTTGTTATCCCATTTGACAGAGAAAGAAACTGAGGCCGAAGGCGTTTTAATGTTTGTATAAGATTGGACAGAGTAGGTGGCTGTCTTAGTTTGCCTTCTATTGCTGTGATAAAGACCATGGCCAAAATCAGCTTGGGGAGGGAAGGACTGGTTTGGCTTACGTTTTCCCATCCCAGTCTATCATTGAGAGAAGTCAGGGCAGGAACCCAAGCAGGAACCTGGAGGCCGGAACTGAAGCAGAAACCACAGAGGAGTGCTGCTTACTGGCTTGCTCCCCAAGGCTCACTCAGCCTGCCTTCTTCTACACCCCAGGACCACCTGCTCAAGGGTGCCAGCACCCACAGTGGGCTGGGCCCTCCCACATCAATCATTAATCAAGGAAGTGCCCTACAGAGTTTCCTATAGGCTCATCTGATGGAGGCATGTTCTCCGTCGAGGTTCCTCTTCCCAGTGGCAGAGCTTGAGGGGAGACTCCCATCATGCAGAATGTGTTGGTTGGTCCTCTGAGAGGTCTGCCTGGAGACGGAAGTCAGTTTCATTGTTCACAACTGGACACTGAGACTGAAGTGGCGTGCAAGGCCTGGCTGGCAGCATCCTTGCCACAAGGTCTTGGCTTCCTGGGAGGTCAAAATCATCTACAGTGGTGGCCCCTTTGCTTGCTCTCTGTTGATCCAGGGTGGGAGTCTAACCCCTGTGCACAGTCCTCCTTTCAGGCCAGGGTAGCCCGGGAGTTTCTTTCTAGGGCAGTTGTGGGCTGAGGATCTCAGACTGGAGCCTTTGCAAAGTTCGGAGAGGCTGATCTCGAACCACACAACCTGCTGGTTGGCCTGTCTGTACTCGAGGTTGCTGCTGCTTTCATGGCTGTCTGTAACCGGGAGCCCGGGGCAGGCTGTTTGTGCAGCTGCAGGCTGCGGCCAGGGTCACCCCTCTGGGAGCTGCCTGTTGAGAAGGAGTCGAGAGGGGCAGCTGCCATCCGCTGGAGGGTGGCTGTGCATGGCTGTGTGACAGTCCATTTCTCACCTCTGCTTCCAGGATGTGGGGCAATCAGATTGGGGATGAAGGGGCAAAGGCCTTTGCAGAGGCACTGAGGGACCACCGCAGCCTGACCAACCTCAGGTAACATGCCTTCTGAGATGTGGGCTCCAGGGGCCCAGGGAGGGGTTATTGGGAGGGGGTGGCTGGCTTTCCTACCGGGGCAAGATTGATTGGCACATGGCTTCTCTTGCTGAAGTTTTTCTCAGTGGGTGTGAGGCATGCAGTGAGGTGCTTAGCTCAATGAACGCCAGGGAGACCTGGGACACCAGCAGCCCCTTGGCTGTCTTGGTGGGCATCCCCAGAGATGGGGCTGGGAGCAATTTCCAAGCCCAGATAACACCAAAGGGACACTAGCCAGCAGGTTGCTGCCCCTTCCTCTTTCTCAGATAATGAACAGCCTTCTCTTAGCACCCTGGCCTGATTCCAGCACCTTGGAGTCTTAGAGCCTTGTCGGCTCTGCCATGGAAGGGGGCCCAGGACTTTGCCGAAGAGACTTTCCCAGGTCTTGTCATGGGCCTCTGAAACTCTCAGATGACCTGAGATAACCCGATGGATGCCCTCCTACATACAAGCCTGGCACAGTGCACTTTGGGCGCACCAGGATTCCTTGGCCTTCAGCTCAGGGGCAAACCCCTGAGTTCTGCCTCTGCTTTTCACCTGGTCTCTTCAGAAACAGCCATAAGCCTGCCCTTACACGCTCAGGCAGCAAAGCCCGGGCACCTGCTGATGGGCCATGCACTCTGCTTCCTGCCTGGGACTGTGTCCAGACAGAAACTTCCCAGTGGCTGAGTGTTGAAGGCAAGGCCAGCTGTGGCTGTGGCTGCAATAATCCATCCCCTGTGTTTCTCGTCCTAGTCTTGCATCCAACGACATCTCCCCAGAGGGAGGGAAGAGCCTCGCACAGGCCCTGAAGCAGAACACCACTCTGTCAATATTCTGGTAACATTTTGAGTCATTTCCAAGGGTTGGGTCTGGTCGTTATTCCCAGGGTTATGGAATCGAAACCGAAAAGCGCTTCTCCATGATTAAGGAGAATGACACTTCCCCCAGCCATCCCCACAAACCCAGGAATAACACATGGACGAAGCGGGCTTTGTCACCCTTGGCTTCTGTGAAGGTGCCAGTAGTCCCCTCAAAACACTCCCACCCAGGCCCAGCTCTCATGCACCTCGTCCAAAATACCCACTTCGCCTCTTGTGCTGCCAATCATCCATGCACCCTGCCTCTGTCCATGTGCATGCGTCACGGCTTGGCTTCTGTGCCCCAGATGGCCTGTCACTAGAAACCTGGAATCCTTATTCTCAGTAAGTGGACATTGCTGCCATGGTGCATTTGGTCATCCCCCCCCCCCTTTCTGGTAGGTCATTTAATCCTTTGTTTTTCCTTATCTTTATTTGTGAGCAAGTTACATCACCGAGTGTGCCATCCTCTTGCCTCCCAGTGCTCATCAGATCCCGCTAACCTATCAGTTACTTATCTTGTTGCCATGACAATATACCTGATGAAAGTAACTCAAGGAGAGAAGGGTGTCCTCTGGCTCGGGGTTTGAAGCTGCCATCCATCCCGACAGGGAAGGCAGGGCAGCGGGAACATGAAACAGCTCCGTTCACACCACACTGTTGGGAAGCAGAGAGATGAATACTGATAACATCGTTTGCTTCCTCCTTTTGATTGACTGTGGTGCTTGCACCCATGGGATGACACCATCCACATCTACCTCAGTTAACCCCATCTAGAAACTCCTCCACAACATGCAGAGGTTTATGTCCTCAGTGCCTCTAGATCCTGGCAAGTTTGACCTTCAATAGAAACCATTACATAGTTACTGAAAATCCCACATTCTGCCCAGTGTAGTGGAAAACACATGTAGCCCCAGCATTCAAAAGGCTGAGGCTGGGGGGTTGCAAGTTTAACACCAGCCTGGCCTTTGTAGCGAGAGCCTGATTCAAACAGTAATGACAAAAATTAGGAGAAGAAAATACTTCTCATGTTTTTAAATACTAGTGTTCCTTCCCAGTCTTTTTGTATATTCACATGTATATAAAATAGAGTAGCATTCGGCTATTATACCTCTTCGCTCTACGTTGCATATTGGACATGTCCGTTCTTTGTCAGGATCTCTCACCTCCACACTGCTGATGGTTTGGCTGTTGCTTGGGGCTGGCCAGGGCATTGGATGGTGTTTAGAAGCATTCCTGGCCTCTACCTGTTAGATGCCAGGAGCACTCAAATTATGATGGTCAAAAATGTCTCCCTCAAGGCACTGTTCAGTGTCCATGGAGAGCAAAACCACCCTGGTTGAGAGCCACTGCTCTGCATGGACAAGAATGCAAAGTTCTTACTGTAAGCCATGGGTCCTTCTGCACCTTGCACACGAATGGACTCGTTCCACGGCAAGTTGGTGTCCAGAGCACCCTAACACTGCCTCCTCCTTTATTCTCTCGTATTGTCTCTAAGGCACAATCCACCTTTGAATGGATGCTTACTATCTTACCAGTTTCTTCTTTTGACAGGTACCTAAAAGAGTTCTCCTTTTACACCACGAGCACAATACCCCAGTGTGTGTTACAAGGCCTACACCCTTGTTACACATCTTCTTCCTTTTCAGCACTGAGGTTCAAAGTCAGGGCTTTGGGAATGTTGGGCAAGAGCTCTGACACTGTGCTACATTCATGAGCCCTTAAATTCTTAATTAAGTTTTGAAGTAGAGCCTCATTCAGTTACCCGGGCTGGCCTCAAACTCACAATCCTCCTGCCTCTGCCTCTGAGAAGCTGGGGTTACAGAGGCCACGTTTCTTAGCTTTGATGAAGATCTTACAACGTCGGGGTGAGTTTCTAGCCTGACCACTTTTATCTGAAAGTAAAATACATTTGTAATTGAGGTAGATGTGACCAAACTGCCCTGCAAAGAACGATCTTTTAAACGGTGCTAACTCTACCTCAGTCTTCGTATTCTTTCACCCACTGGAACAAGAGGGTCCTCTGTTGGGGACATCTGAGAGCTTCGGCGCTTTGTCCCTTCAGCTGCTGAGTTTAGAGCAATTGAGAGGCTCCTTGAGTTTGTTGTCAGTTCCTGTTCTTCACAGTAGCTTCAGAGAACAGCTGAACATGGTTCACCAGGCAGGGCTTTTCCAGGGCTCCATCCTGATCTGGGCAGTGTGCTGCCAGTGGCCTTCAGAGGTCTAGGGGGGCTGGACGCTGACCCAGAGGCTGACCTGCAGGCACTGGCTCTCTGTATTGTAGGGCCTTCACATCTGTAAAATCCAAGGGTGCTGTCTGGGTAGGGAACTACCCCGCAGGAAGGAGGCCAGGAAACAGAGCTCAGGGAAGGACTGACTGGAAGCCAGTGTCCTTGTATGAGTTTACACGCCATGATGCAGAGTTTCAGTGGAGATGGGGGAGCCTGGCCCTCAGCATGTGATGCCGGGCAGGAGGGAAGGCCCCAGAATGGCCCCTGTGAACTCATAAACAACATCTGTCCATCAGCACTGCTGACGCAACATCTCTTTTCTTCTAGGCTGACACAAAATGAACTTAATGATGAGGCAGCAGAGTGCTTCGCTGAGATGCTGAAAGTCAACCAGACGCTGAAGCATTTGTGGTAACGCATGGGGTCTGGGGCCTGGACTCTGCTTTCCACGCATGGTCTGTGATGGAATCTATATACCACAGCACTCAACCTTTGAAAGTTTAGAGAGTTTTTTTGTTTGTTTGTTTTATTTTGTTTGTTTTCTTTTTTGTTTTTCTGTTTTGTTGCTGGGTGGTGTTGGTGCATGCCTTTAATCCTAGCACTTGGGAAGGGCAGAGACAGGTGGATCTCTGTGAGTTCAAGGCCATTCTGGTCTACAGAGTGAGTTCTAGGACAGCCAGGGCTACACAGAGAAACCTTATCTCAAAAAGCCAGAAAAGAAAGTTCAGCCCAATCTTTTTGGACTGGGGATCCCTGCTATGAAAGAGAGAGAGAGAGAGAGAGAGAGAGAGAGAGAGAGAGAGAGAGAGAGAGAGAGGAGGAGAGAGGAGAGAGAGAGAAAGGAGAGAGAGGAGGGGGATCTGTTTACAATTAT